GGCTCCAATAAAAGCTTCCGCGCCGCAGCCATCCCCACTCCAGTCCACCTCCCGTGTGGGTTGAATTTTGGCCGGCTTCCGGTTCAGCCTTTCAGGTACCTCTACCCAGCGCGTACCTCGCAGAACCGATTTCTTCTTCTTGGAGTAGTAGAATTCCCTCCCTGTTCTCCGTTCTCCTCTGATTGCTCAAAGAAAAATACTAAAATGCAGGTTCTGGAGGCGCGCGCCGGGTGATTCCTCCATTGCCGAAAGCTTCCGCCGTCTCGGAGGTACCCCCGCCCCGCTGTTTTCTTGCTCGCCGGGAAGCTACCGGATTTTGGTGGCACCCGGCGAGCCAATTCCGGCCATGATCTTGTATTTTGTGCCGCCCGACGGATGGACGGACGGAACAGCCGCAAGGGTCCAAACACCTTTTTCTTCGGATGCTCTGCCTCTGCTAGTCCCCTCCGGCGCTGATTTCGAGCCAGCCAGGCGAACTGACGCTGGCTCCGCGATCTTGCAGGTGTGCATTTTGGCAGTCTGCCATTGCCGAGGGCGGGGGAGAGGCGCTTCGGTCTCGGCGCGGGGGATGGAGGGGCGGGGGAGGCGGCCGCGGAGCCCGGAGCGGCGGAGGCCGCCGGCGAGGAAGGTGCCGGTGGTGTACTACCTCACGCGGAGCCGCCACCTCGAGCACCCGCACTTCGTCGAGGTGCCGGCGCCCTCCTCCTCCGACGGGCTCTACCTCCGAGGTCAGTGCACGGACGGACGCCGCCGCCACATGGCCCCCGCGTGCAGCGCAGTCAGTCTGCTCGTACCACAGCTTGTGTAGTGGCGATTGATTGATTGGTTGGTTGATTGCTTTGGTGCGCAGATGTGATTCGTCACCTCAACATGGTGCGCGGCAAGGGCATGGCCTCCATGTACTCCTGGTCCTGCAAGAGGTAAACCAACCAAGCTACCAAGCAACCAAGCGAAATTCTTTGAAGAATTTCATGGAGTTCTCTGAATTTTCTGAACTCCATGCACTCCATGAGTTGTCTGAACTTTGGCGAGTTGACAAGAAGTTTTCTGAATTTTTGAGTTCCTGAATTTCCAGGAGCTACAAGAATGGGTTTGTGTGGCACGATCTCGCAGAGGACGACCTCGTCCTCCCGGCCACCGACGGCGAGTATGTGCTCAAGGGCTCCGAGATCCTGGACCAACCTTCTTCAGGTAATTCTTTTTGTTCCCTTCGAGCTGCCATTTGCTCTTGTGAACATCGACTGGGAGCTTGAGTGCTGATTGGTGTTGCCATACCATCTTTTGCCTGTTTGTTTAAATATGTGCAGGTCAATTTCACCATGGTAGTAATGGCAACCAGAAGCAGCAGAGCAGGGTGAAAGAGGGTAGTACAAGGTTGCCTTTGTCAAGGGAGGCCTCCTTCTCCTCCTCCCCACCCAGTGTGACAGTCAGAGAAGCCAAGCCTCGGCGCGTGCCATCGGTGCCTTCGCGGGACGAGGACGACTCCCCCTCGCCCTGCCGGGGCACCTCCTCGGAGACAATGTCGCCGGAGTCGGAGCCTCAGAGGACTGTCATGTCACGGCCGACGCCGGCAGAATTCAGGGTTTTCAAGCCCACCGGTTTGATGGATGCCGCAACTCAAACCGATGACCTCGGCAGAAGATCAGCTCGGAGAGCACCTGAGATGCACAAGAAGAGTCTGAGCACTGATCATGACGCTGTGGTTCGTGATGTTACCGAGTACCGGCAGCAGAGCCATCCGCGCCGGTCGGCCGAGCTCCAGGGGATCTCCAGGGATGTCATGTCCCACTGTGCCACTCCACTGAGCATGGCCTCAACCCATGGCAAGTCCGAGAGCTTGGAGTCGTTGATACGTGCCGACAACGCGTCAGCTAACAGCTTCAGGATTCTTGAGGAGGATGACATTGTCGTGCCGACCTGCCCGAAGCTGAGGCCGGCGAATGTGCTGATGCAGCTCATCACCTGTGGTTCACTTTCAGTGAAGGATCATGACAACATTGGCCTTGTTGGGGCTTACAAGCCAAGGTTCCCGAACCTGAAGTTCCCGTCGCCGCTGATTTCTCGCTCCATGATGATGGGTGAGCTCGATTACCTATCAGAGAACCCCAGATTCATTGGGACACGGATTGAAGATAAGGAGTATTTTAGTGGGAGCATCATCGAGACCAAGACGCAGAGAGACGTTCCCGCCGAGAGGCACTCGGTGCTTAAAAGGTCTTCTTCGTATAACGCAGAAAGGTAAATTCAGTGCTTCCGCGTTACATTTCGGTTGTGCTTAAATAGCTTAGAATTTAGAAATTTTCCCTTTTGTGCTTAGATAACTTAAGACTATTTGTATTACTTGACCTATGCCACTGGTTAAGAAAATAGGTTTGTGGCTAATTCTGTAGCGGTTACTTGACAGTTCATACTTTACAATCCTATAATGCATTTTTCCCTTGTGTGTTTTTCTGTCTCAGAAAATACTTGACAGCTTCATACTTCACCTTGGTGTTTTAAGCATGCCAACTTAGATTTGATTGATTGGGTGCTTCATTTTTCAAAATCATTTCTATTTTGTAGTCATGAGATGTCAGCGTTTGAAATATGGATATTGAAGCTGAACTTTTGCAGTGATTGCTCATTTAAGAGCATTGAGTTGCGCATAATATCCACAGAAAGGGGGGGTTAGGGTAGGCTGGGCTCGGCGAATTTAGAGATAGGAAAAGTGCCACGTACCATATAGATTTTATGAATTCAAGGACCATTGCTTTTCCGCCATTTAGTGATCCCCGGACTCTAGACGAGGCCATTTTGCAGTTAGCTCGGTGCCAACGGCACTGCTAAGTTCATGTCCTGCGTTGCCATGGTGCAGCTGGCATCCACGCAGCAAACAAAATAACAAAGTACAGGGAATCTACTGAAGAAAACCGAGGTCAGGGCATTGCAAAATTGGTAGACGCGCCTACTAAGCGAGATCGGAAATTTTACTTTTGCGCATTTCACCTTAGTAGTTCTGTTTTGGACAATGCGATGCATATTTTTGAACTAGGAACAGCGCCATACGTAGCTTGCCTTGCACAAATTCTTGTTAGTTGGTAGATGAAGAACATGGGTAGATTGGTGCAAAGCAGGAGTTACCGAAAGTAAAGGGTGACAATTTTCTTTCTTCTGAAGATTTTTTTGCCCTCCTGTTACTCCTTTTTGTCACTACTCCAATTCTACAGTTTTAATTCTATGGCAGTAGCTTCACTTGTTCATTGCCAGACACAGCACGAGCATATGTCAGATGTAGTTTAGAGGACCACACTACATGGCTGGCTGGCGAGATTCTTCAGTTGCTCAACTGAAAATGCAGCAGTAGCAGATATCCTATTGCTTCATACTGATGAACAGTGGTTGTTGCTATCCTAGAAGAATTGTCACTGTTATAGACGGACAGATCCGTGAACTGAACTGCAAATGCCAGCGCGGTTCATGCGCCGATCCCGATCCCGGCTGGACCATTTTCTGTTTCACCCTGTTAGAATCCAAAGAATTCAGGTAGCATACGTCTGAATTTTTGTTAGCAGGAGATTTGGTCGTTGGCACAACGGTTGTTTCAGTTCAGAGGCAGTAACATTTCCTTGGCATTTGCCTAGGATCTTACTTACTTACTTACCATGCGAGTTTCATCGGTTTCCAGTTAATTCATTCATGTGGTGGTGTTCTTGACCATGGATGGACGATCTCGCAGGGGCGGCGAGAACCTCTGCGACTGCACGGGGCCCGATGAAGAAGAGATGGTACCGCGCTCGAGGTGCCTGCCCCGGACGCCAATACTGTCATCCTTGCTGCACCCGAAGAGCGAGACGCAGAAGTCCCCGGTATCGGACTGCAGGAGGAGCTCCTCGGCCGGGCCGGACTCGATTGACGGCGGGAGCAAGCGGTTCACCGACGCGTCGTCGAGGGTAGAGTCCTTCAGGAAGGAGAGCAAGGAGAAGCTCGTCAAGATCGAGGAAAGTTAAGTGCTCCAACTCTTTGTCACTGCACTGGGTATGCACTCGAGGCTTTGATTTCCCCCTTGCAACATACCGAAGATCCCGCGCGATATGCGACGATGGTATTGAGGTTTTTGTTGTGGATCGTGTGTGCGCAGGCTGCCGTCGGGAGCCCGCGTCGTGATCCAGTGCACCGTGCCCTGCGACGACGGCGACGAAGATGCATTCTGAAGCCTCCTGGACTTGCAGCTGACCTGGCCACGTGACGTGGCGCTCTCTTTGCTTCTTTAGATGATGATGAATGAGTTGCTGACGAGTTTGTGTTTTCTTTCTTGAGATGTGTAGTGTGTTAGCTTTATTCTTCAGGCGTAATGTATATTTTTTTTTTCTGTTCTTTGGTTTTGTTGAAATTTTGTCCTCGTTATCAGTTGTAGTAAGTGCCTGTTAATCCCATTTTGTGCTCGTTATCAGTTGTAAGCTTTATGGTTTAATCTGTGCTTAGCAGAATTATGTGTGCTAATAGGTGTTTTTTGCATTAAAAAACTCACCAGAAACAGGAAATGCACGTTTCAGTTTTTTCAGCATAAGAAATGCATGTGTTTTAGGATTTTTTTTGAGAATGGCTAAATATATTGATAAAAACGTGTAATATTGGTACAATAATAAGTAGACCGTCCCCGCAAAATAATAATAATAAGTAGACCGAAGAAAGCAGTAATCAGTACAGTAAAAATGAAAGTTATGTCATGAGGCCAAACCTCCACTGAAGATTTTTCGTTGTTGCTTTGAAGAAACATGAAATGCTCCTATAAGTTTTCTCAGCACAGGAAATGTACTTGTAAGTGTGATTTTAAGCATATTCGGCCCAAGTTCAACTACTTGGGCTGTTGCTGTTAACAGAATTTTGGTAGGATCTTGGGCCAAACGAGCTTATTATTAAGATTAGAGGACTGGCCAAAATACGAAATCACTAATTAAGAAGTACTCCTTGCGGAGATCACTCTAACTTCCCCAGGTTGCGACAAGTGGCGCGTGCGCCACTTGTCGCAACCTGAGAGTTTTCCCTTTTTTCGTAGATACGTTTATTCAAAACGTTTTATCTCTTAAACCGTGCTCCCAAATCTCCAACCGCTTTCGCCGTTGGATTCCTCGCGTCGAGATCTTCAAAACTAGATCCCATGTTGATAGGTTTTGATGAACTTTTTTTTCACGAAAAAACCGGACGAAAAAACCGACGAAAAAACCGAACCGGGAACACGGGTTTTTTCCCTTTACGAAAAAGGCACGCCCGTGCCTCTGACGAAATCACAACTGTGCCTCTCACGGAAGCAAAACCGTGCCTCTCGCGAAAAAAAAAACAGAAAACGCGTGTCTTTTTCCTTTTCGAAAGAGGCACGCCCGCGCCTCTCGCGAAAGCACAAACGTGCCTCTCGCGGAAGCAAAACCGTGCCTCTCGCAAAAGAAAAAAAAACAGAAAACACGTTTTTTCCCTTTCCGAAAGAGGCACGCCGGTGCCTCTCGCGAAAGCA